AAATAAATAAATATATATATATATCTGTATATATCTAAATAAATAAATAAATATAAATATAAATATAAATATAAATATAAATATAAATATATATATTCTCTAATAAAAAGATGTCGTGCTGGTCGCCTCCGTTGTTCTGTTAGCGCCCCTGGTCCTTGTAACTTCGTCCACTGGCGCGCTTCCTTTTGAAAGCCTTTTGCACTAAAACTTCGAAAATTTTGGTTCCGCGAGCCTTTCTTTGTCGGTATTAAAACTTCTGAAAATTGGTAGTTTCAGGAAATCGCGCGATAGTAAAATTCAGAACTTTGGTAGCTTTAGGTGGGTATATTGCCGATCATAGAATTGTCGAAATTTTGAGACATGCTCGTGGTAATAAAATTCTATTCTGAAAGTAGGTGTCTGTGTGCGTGCGTGGGACGCTCTACGTACGCGTATCTCCGAATATCTGAGTATATTTAAATAGGCTCGTTTACACGTCTATCGGAGTTTCTTTCTATGCGTCTCTCTCTATTTATATCTATATAAGAAAATAGAAATTCTTATTTTTCTTTCTCTATATTAAATTTATTAATTTCTATTGATATGGGTCTTAAGAATATTTATCTGTATTATATGAATATATTTTATTTAGGACTAAATTCTGAATTATTCCGAATTCTTCTATTCGATTTCATTCTTAATTATTATTCTCATATTAATCTGCTTCATATGCCTAATATTTGCGGACTTTTCATAATTTTAGAATTTTGAGATTTGCCCGACTATAAATAAAATAATAAAATATCTAATAGAATCCAAATTAATTGAGGATTTTATTTTATTTTTTTTGAATTTTTGCTTTTATTTTCTATTGCTTTTGATATTTATTATTATTTTTTTTTGCTCAGCTTTTTATTATTTTTTTGCTTTATGCCTTTTCGGTACGCTTCATTATTTGTTGCTTTCTTTGCTTGTTGCCTTCTATTTTCGTTATTTATTTTATTATATTTCTCATTCTCTCTCTCTCTCTAAATTCCTATTACAATTTGCTTTTTTATTTTTCGTTATGCTCCGCTATTTCTTGATTACTTTGCTTGTTGCTTTATATTTTATGCCTTCTCGTTATGCTCCATTTTTTGGTACTTTATTTGATTATTACTTGATGTATTCGCTTGGGGATCGACTCTGATTTATCATATCCAAAGAAATTGGTATTTTCCTTAGTTTCCTCTTTATTTTAGTCGGAGAATATTTTTTTCTATATATTTCTATAGATAGAGATCAAGAAAGAAAGGAAGGAAAGAAAGGAAGGAAAGAAAGGAAAGAAGGAATAAAGAAAGAAAGAAGGAAAAGAAAATAGAGAGGAAAGAATAAAGAAATAAAGAAAGAATAGAAGGAAGGAAAGAAATAAGGACGAAATAAATAAAGGGAGTAAGATAGGGAGAAAGAATAAAGATAAGAATACGAAAATATAATAAATAAGGTAGTCAATTCAATATCCTTATTTATAGGAATCCGAAATATGGATCCTTTTTTAAAAAATGAATATATTATATACGTAATTTATTCGAATTTGCTAGGAATGAATATTATAATTGAAATATTGATTGAATTTTTTTTGGGAAGGGAATTATTATTTTCTTGAATTTAGGATTTGCTCTATATTTTTGTGTAGGAAAATTTCTATTTTCTTTTGATTTGAAGAGGAAAATCTCCATTTTTTATATATTCAAACAGACAAATCTATATGCTCTGAAAATTTAAAAGGAAGATTATCGGAAAACTTCTATTTTCTGCATATATTAATAGGATTTTTTTTATTTTCTCTGCAATTTAAGAAGAAAGTCTTTATTTTCTGAATATATTAATAGGAAATCTTTTATTTTCTCTTTATTTTAATTTTCAATTTTGGGGCTATGGAAGCGGCTGTCTTGCAAATACTCTAAACCCATGATGCGAGCATTGATCTTGCACAGAGAGGGGGGACTGCGCTCCTTCAACCCCCCCTTTTTGAGAAGCTGGGCAAGCTTGCTTCAGAGCATACGAATCTTTTCTAAACCTGATGCGACATTAAATTTGCACATGGGGGGGAGCTGCGCCCCCCCAATCTCCACGCCTTTTTTTGAAGCCGGGCAAGCTTACTTCAGAGCAAACGAATATCTTCCATATCCATGATGCGAGCATTATATTTGCGTATGGGGGAGGGGGCTGCGCCCCCATCCCCCCCGCTATTTTTTGAAGTCGGGCAACTTGCTTTAGAGCATACGAGTACCTTTCCCACCCATGATGCGAGCATTGTCTTTGCACATGGGAGGGGGGTTGCGCCCCTATCCCCCCTGCTATTTTTTGAAGTCGGGCATGCTTGCTTCAGAGCATACGAATATCTTCTATATCTCATGATGCGAGCATTGTATTTGCAAATGGGCCGGGGAGACGAGTCCCTTTCAAATCCATGATACGAGAATCATATTTGCAAGTTATCTATTCTGCTTGCCGCTATTCCTTGTTTTGATGCTGCTTTGTGCTTATTGTCTTTCCTTATAGTGTTTCTTCCCTTTATTTCATCGAGTTCTTGGTTGCTTGCTTATTTGCTCATATGCCTGTATTTTTTATCTTCTTTTTGGCGCCCTTGCCTCCCCTCCCTCCCTCCCTCCCTTCCTTCCTTCCCTCCCGTTCCCTCAGACCAAGCAAAAGCAGAAAAACAACAAAAATCGCCAAAAAGAACAAAAAAATTCAAAAAATTCGGACCCATATCTAATTATTTCTGTAGTGTAATTGTTTTCTTGTTGAGCGATAAATATCGTTATTCTTTTATATATTTCATTTTCTAGTCCAGTGCGATAAGTAATTTGTAATTTATATTGCGCGGAAAAAGTAGCCTGCATGGCGTGGCTTCAAGAATTTCAACGTGCGAGATTTTTCTCTATACGGAAAATTTTTATTATTTCATAAAAAGACATGACGATCATATTGCCACGATCAAGCGTTTGGCGTATAAGATAAGGGATCCTTCAATAATGAATCTGCTCGATATTTATCGCTAAGTAGACGCCATTTTGCACGATTATTATATCGTAATAGATTATTTGATAGCTTTATCCGAATCTATTTCTTTATTAAGGATCATTTCGCCCTGGGAATAATTGATAATCTCATAATGAAGAATCTTCTCCGATAATCCATCAAATTCGTGATAGGCTTTGAGAATAGATATCCTTCTATTTGATATTCATCAGAATTTCTCCCTTCTTCCTTTTCATTATAGAATAAATCATTTTCGTCTCCCTATTATATGTGTCTGCTATATTCTTTGGGATGCGAAAGATAAAATAAATCTTGAGGTATCCGGGGAGGACTGCTCCCCATATTCATATTTGATCATATTCAGGACGTACGGAGCATGAAAGAAAATCTTGCCTTTTTAATTCAAACGCAGCTCATCTGCTATAAAAATACGCGCATGATGAATATACTTCAAGTGCAACTTCATAGATTGACTTAATGATATTAGTGAGGACGAAGGTCTCTTTAAAGACGAAGCTGGTTTCTTTGCAGGCGCCATATAAGAAGAAGACTTCTTCCGAATATGATATGAAGCAACAGCCTTCTTGATATGGACTTTACGAGTCGAAGGATTTCGAAGGAATTCCTACGATAAAGTACTATGAAAGCCTTATCTCATCTGTAATAGAAAGCAGCTGCTCATAGTTTCTTAGCAGGAAGCAATCCAGGATTCGATAATATTATATCGTGCTGGATGATATCTCCGAATAATCTATTAATAAGGCTATTCCAAAATCTATAGAATACAATATTCTAATTTTTGCCATTTAGATGAATTGCCTGATATGATGAAGGAAATCAATGGAAGCTGCCTAATATTATTTATTTTCTCAATCAAGATATCTAGAGATATCAATTCGACTGCCATGCCAAGAATAGTGCTTATCCCTGAAAATAAGCGTATAAAGGAGAAATATTTTTTGTAGACCCTTTCACCAGGCTCAAATTTGAGTGCTTGACGTGAAAGAAGAGCACGTGTGGCCGATGAGTCTGGTAAAGGAGCAGGATCATGAACGATATCGTATCTTATTCTTGAAAAAAACTCGGTCTTGTTTTTAAAGTCCGCAGCGAAAATAGCGCTCCGGAGAACGATCCAATATATAGAAGAAATCATACTATATCATAATATATTTTAGAGATATAGATATATAATTCTGATCACCTAATTCATGCTCAAATACAATATAATGGAATATCAGCACTTCAGGACACTATGATATGATATTTTCGACGCATCTGAAACTTCTGATTTCCGCTAGTCTCTATTACAACCATTCGGCCCAATATCAGATATCTTAAATTACGATAATCCTTCGTTATACTTAAGTGAATACGAATCACAAGCCTTTATATATATATATATATTCGCCTTATGGATTTCTCAGACAGATTCACGATGCTCTTAATCTGCTACAAAATGAGAGCTGCTGGATTTCTTCTCGTCCACGTCTATCTCCCTTTCTAACGCCATTTCGAGATCATCAGGAATATGATCCTTATCAGGAAAATCCTCATTCCTATTGTCGTTTTCTTGGCTCATTTTAGTAGTTGCACGTGCAAGAA